TGTTACTCAGGCTGGAGTGTGGTGGAACGATCTCGGCTTACTGCAACCTCTGTCTCACAGTTTTAAGCGATTCTCCTCCCTCAGCCTCTTGAGCAGCTGGGACTACAGGCATGTGCCACCACATCTGGGTAATTTTTTTTGTATGTTTAGTAAAGATGGCATTTCACTATGTTGGCCAGGTTGGTCTTGAACTCCTGAGCTCAAGTGATCCACCTGCCTCAGCCTCCCAAAGTGCTGGGAATACAGGCATGAGCCACTGTGCCCAGCTTGATTACTGTTTAAGTTAATGAAAACAATTCTTCAACAAAACTGATGAAAGAACATAACCGTTGGAAAAACAGGATTGTCTTCTGCATATGTAACAGGAGATGAAAAAGTGATACCTCATCTAATTATCTGTAAAACTTCTATTTCAGAGACAAAGAAGTGGAAAAATATGATTTACATTTAATAGTGTGTAAAGTTAATACAATTAAATTATAAATTCTCTAAAGCTTATGTAACAAACCCTTTTTCCTTGGGGGCTTGGGGGCAGTGAATTCCACAAGCTAGGCTGAAATACCACTTTGTGATTACTAGATGCATTTTCTTTTAGGTTTTACCTTATATTTCATTGTATGCCTGTTGTCCTACCAAATATTGCTGGCACCTCCTTTGATCATCACAAGTGTCCCAGCTAGCTGTAGACCAGCTAAAGAAGTAGTAGGAAAACCTAGGTTTTAGTTCTGGCCCACTCCTTGAGAGTAGTAATTTCACCTTTCTGAGAATATCATCATCTTTCTTTTTTTTTTTTTTTTGAGACGGAGACTTGCACTGTCGCCCTGGCTGGAGTGCAGTGGCATGCTCTCTGCTCACTGCAACCTTCACCTCCCAGGTTCAAGCGATTCTCTTGCCTCAGCCTCCCAAGTAGCTGGGATTACAGGCGCCCACCACCACACCTGGCCAATTTTTTCTATTTTTAGTAAAAATGGGGTTTCACTATGTTGACAAGGTTGGTCTTGAACTCCTGACCTCGTAATTCACCCACCTCAGTCTCTCAAAGTGCGGGGATTATAGGCGTGAGCCACCACGCCTGGTCATTCTTTCTTACAGGGTTATGTTGAGAATTTAATGAGATCCTAGATATAAAACTGGTACATAAACTGTAAAATGCAACACATTTTCTTTTTTTCTTTCTTTTTGCTCTGTCACCCAGGCTGGAGTGCAGTGGCTTGATCTTGGCTCACTACAACGTCTGCCTCTCAGGTTCAAATGATTCTCCTGCCTCAGCCTCCCTAGTAGCTGAGATTACAGGTGCATGCCACCACGCCTGGCTAATTTTTGTATAGTAGAGATGGGGTTTCACTACATTGAACAGGCTGGCCTCAAACTCCTGATCTCAGGTGATCCGCCTGCCTCGACCTCTCAAAGTGCTGGGATTATAGGCATGAGCCACTGTGCCAGGCCAGAATGCAACACGTTCTAACAAGAATCTTTAGAAAGAAATTACATCAGTTTCTGTCAGTGAAAATGGAGGAGCGGTGAGCTCTAAGGGCCATTCCTTCAGAGAAACAGTGAAAACGCAGAATAAACTTCACTGAAACTCTGGAAGATAGTCAAAGGTTTACAGCAACCAAGCAAATGCTTAAGTAAGAAAAAAAGTGACTGAAACTTGGCAGGAGAGCTTTGTAGCATTTTAACTTATCCTCACTCCATCCCTTACTTTCTGTACCAGTGGCAGTCTTAAAGATGGCAGCCTCCATTCCTGTTGTGAGATTCTGGTGATAGTGGAAGCAATGCAGCTCTATGCTCAAAGAACTGTGGTCATCTGTTTTGACCTGTCAGGTAGCTTTCTAAACACTAATGCAAAGTGCTTGCCTTCATTTTGCTTAACTTGGAATTCTCTCAGGATGGAGAAGTGGCTAAGCTTCTTTTGTCAAAAACATTATGTCTTAGTCTGTTTGTGTTCCTACAACAAAATACCACAGATTGGGTAATTTATAAAGAACAGTTGTCTCACAGTTCTGGAAGCTGGAAAGTCCAAGATCCATTCATAAGACAGGGCAAACCCATTTACATGAGCACCCACCCCTCCTTTTTTTTTGTTGCCAGGCTGGAGTGTGGTAGCACAATCTTGGCTCACTGCAACCTCTACCTCCCGGGTTCAAGCAGTTCTCCTGCCTCAGCCTCCTAAGTAGCTGGGACTACTGGTGCCACGATACTGTGCCCAACTAATTTTTTTTTTTTTTTTTTGTATTTTTAGTAGAAACGAGGTTTCACTATGTTGGCCAGGNTTTAGTAGAAACGAGGTTTCACTATGTTGGCCAGGATGGTCTCCATCTCTTAACCTCATGATCTGCCCGCCTTGGCCTCCCAAAGTGTTCGGATTACAGGTGTGAGCCACTGCCCTGGGCCGACATGAGCCCTTTCTATAACAGCAATATTGTATTCACAAGGACAAGCCCTCATGATCTAAACATGTCCTAAAAGTCCCCACTTCCCAACACTGTTGCACTAGGGATTACATTTTAACTCATGAATTTTGAAGGAGACACAAACATTCAAACCACAGCACATTTAAGGTCAAATGAACCAGCTGTTGCCAGCTGGGGCAAAGGGTATCAGTTGGGGCCAACAGTAGATATGACAAAAGGCCTCAGAGGAAAAGGTGGGGAGTGAGATGCTAAGGGGAATAAGGGTTCTGAAAAGTTTCCATATATTACTGGGAGCTTAGAAGGCCATACACATGCCAACAATAGTGTACATGCTCAGAAAGGACCATTCTGTGAACGAATGGCCCTTAGAGCTTGCCACTCCTCCATTTCACATGCCAACAATAGTGTACGTGCTCAGAAAACACCTAAGAAAGCCCTAAGATCTCATTTCTGGCTGACTTTCAAGTTCTGTACAAGCAGGAAGTAAAGGCAAAGCAGAGTTGTAATCTGCACGGCTGAGTGTTGAAGGTGTGCTCCAACATACACAGAGAAATCAGCTGTGAAGATGGGGAGTTTTGTGGTTTTATTGGTGCCAGGCATTTACGAAAACCTCTGTAAAATCACTGGCTGATCACTAAGCTTATCGAACAGAGAATATAGTGACCACATACAACAACAACAAAATCTTTTTTTTTTTGAGACAGGGTCTCACTCTGTTGCCCAGGCTGGAGTACAATGGCATGATCATGTCTTACTGTAGCCTTGACCCTACCATCTCAGCCTCCCGAGTAGCTGGGACCATGGGTACAGGCCACCACACCTAGGTAATTTTTGTATTTTTTGTAGAGAAAGGGTTTCGCCATGTTGCCCAGGCTGGTCTCGAACTCCTGGGCTCAAGTGATCTGCCCACCTCAGCCTCCCAAAGTGTTGGGATTAAAGGTGTGAGCCACTGTGCCCAGCCAAGAATACACACATACACACAAAAAAGAAGAGTCACTGAACAAACAACCATAACCTATAACAAGTAGTAAGAACAAAGCCTGAAGATGGGGAGAATCGGATTTCCAGAGTTATCACACTGTAATATCCAAAATGTCCAGTTTTCAACAAAGAATTATGAAGCATGCAAAGTCCATTCATAGGAAAGAACAAAATGAATAGAAATTGTTCCTGAGGAAGTCCAGACATTGGACTTATTACATAAATACTTTAAATCAACTGTCTCTTTTTTTGAGACAAAGTCTCACTTTGTAATCCAGGCTAGAGTGCAATGGCATGATCTTGGCTTACTGCAATCTCCACCTCCCAGGTTCCAGCAATTCTCATGCCTCAGCCTCCCGAGTAACTGAGACTACAGACATGTGCCACCATGCCGAGCTAAATTTTTTGAATTTTTGTTGCTGTTGTTTAGCAGAGAAGAGGTTTCACCATGTTGGGCAGGCTGTTCTCAAACTACCGACTTCAGGTGATCCGCCCACCTTGGCCTTCCAAAGCGTTGGGATTACAGGTGTGAACCACCATGTCTGACCTTAAAGCAACTGTCTTAAATATACTCAAAGATCTAAATGAAACCAGTAAATTGTCTTAGCAAATAGTGAATACAAATGAGACAAATTATAAAAACTAAATAGAAATTCTAGGGCTAAAAAGTATAATAACTGAAATGAAAAATTTATTAGAAGGGTTCAACAGAAGATCTGAGCAAGCAGAGAATGAGTGCACCTGAAGACAGGTTATTTGAAGTTATCCAGACTGAGAAGCAGAAAGGAAAAAAAAAAGGTAAAGAAAAATGAAGAGTCTGAGAGACTTGTGAGCCACCATTAAGCACACCAACATAAGTATAATGAGAGTTCCAGAGGGAAGTAGAGAAAGGAGCAGAAAGAATATTTGAAGAAATAAGGGCCCCAAACTCCCCAAATTTGATGAAAGACATGAACAAGGCTGGGCATGGTGGCTCACGCCTGTAATCCCAGCATTTTGGAAAGCCAAGGCAGGTGGATCATGAGGTCAAGAGATCGAGACCATCCTGGCCAACATGGTGAAACCCCATCTCTACTAAAAACACAAAAATTGGCTGGGCGTGGTGGTGTGCACCTGTAGTCCCAGCGACTTGGGAGGCTGAGGCAGGAGAACAGCATGAACCTGGGAGGCGGAGGTTACAGTGAGCCAAGATGGCACCACTGCACTCCAGCCTGGTGACAGAGAGACTCTGTTTCAAAAAAAAAAAAAAAAAAAAAAAAAAAAAAAAAAAAAAAAAAAAAAAAAAAAAAAAGACATGAACAAAAAAAGTATCAACGGAGAATTCTATACCTAGCAAAACTATCCTTCAGAAATTAGCTGGGTGTGGTGGCATGCCTTTGGAAGGGTAAGGTGAGAGGTTTGCTAGTACCCTAATTACCAGATATTCTATATATTTATTTTTTAAATTTATTTACTGACTCCCCAACCTTTGCCCCAACATAAGAGAACAGAGATTTAGATTTAGGCACTGCTATATACCTAACATCTTGAACAGTGCCTAGCACAGAAGTAGTAATCAATTTTGATGGAATAAACATGATTAAATAAAAAAGCACAAATACCTACCAAGAATACATGTCATGGGGCAGGTTTCTTCCAGATTACTCAGAAATACTTCTTTTTTGTAGAACATTTTTGTGGGCTCGTGCTCCGTCTCTTCTGGGTGAATGAAGATGGGGCCATAAAAATATGCAGCTCCATCTCGAACCCATACTTTTTCGATTCTTGGGGAGACAAATATAGAAATTACATTAAAATAGCTTCCTTCTTGAAATATTAACAAAAATTCCATTAACCAAAACTTAGTAATGTGTACCATTTAGAGAAGTTTCATTGGCTGTTTTGATAAGACGTTATTAACTTTTCCCCCATTAAACACATGAAAAGATACTTAGAAAAACAGAGAGAAACATTTGGCTATAAGTCCAAGGGAAAAATTTTTTTAACATAATATCAAGGCACAAAACTTAATAATTTTATGTAACAACCAGGTTTTCTTTCTGAGACGTTCATGAAGAAAGCTGAATGAAGCATCTGTCATCGGATTTGTAAACCAAACAAAGACACAAACCATCAATATTTTGGGTCAGATCACATGAGTGGCAGACATTTCTTTAAGACAGTGGTTTATAATCTTTTTGAAGGTCAAGATCTAATACCCCGGCCGGGCGCGGTGGCTCACGCCTGTAATCCCGGCACTTTGGGAGGCTGAGGCGGGTGGATCACAAGGTCAACAGATCGAGACCATCCTGGTCAACATGGTGAAATCCCGTCTCTACTAAAAATACAAAACATTAGCTGGGCATGGTGGCGCTTGCCTGTAATCCCAGCTACTGAGGAGGCTGAGGCAGGAGAATTGCCTGAGCCCAGGAGGTGGAGGTTGCCGTGAGCCGAGATCACGCCATTGCACTCCAGCCTGGGTAACAAGAGCGAAACTCCGTCTCAAAAAAAGATCTAATACCCCTGGCTGGGCACAGTGGCTCACACCTGTAATCCCAGCACTTTGGGAAGCCAAGATGGGCAAATCCTGTGAGCTCAGGAGTTCAAGACCAGCCTGGACAACATGGTGAAACCCCATCTCCACTAAAAATACAAAAATTAGCCAGGTATGGTAGTGTACACCTATAGTCCCAGCTACTTGGGAGGCTGAGAAGATGGCTTCAGGCCAGGAGGTGGAGGTTGTAGTGAGCTGAGATCATGCCACTGCACTCTAGCCTAGGTGACAGAGCCAGGCACTGTCTCAAAAAAATAAATAAATAAAAAAGAGATCTAGTACCCCTTCATCCCTTGAGAATTTGATGAAAGCCAGTATTCTTGACAACCAACCCAAAAAGTTGACATTATTATTGTCCCATATTCTCGTAATTCCTCATATGAAGTATTGTACTTATCTCAGTTAATAATAACCGTACCCTTTCAGATCCTCAGGCTTACACACAGAAGTCACCCCTGACTTATCTTTCTCAGATCCTACATCCCATTTTTCAATAATACTATTAATTTGACCTTCAAAATACTATCCTGTGCAATCACCCTGGTCTCAAGCAGCGTCATTCTTGCCTGGATTATTGCAACCACCTCCTAGGTGATGGATCTCCTTGCTTCTACTTTGACTCTTTTTTTTTTTTTTGAGACAGAGTCTCACTCTGTCGCCCAGGCTGGAGGGCAGTGGAGTGGTCTTGGCTCACTGCAACCTCTACCTCCTGGGTTCAGGTGATTCTCCTGCCTCAGCCTCCTTAGTAGCTGGGACTATAGGCATGTGCCACCATGCCTGGCTAATTTTTTTGTATTTTTAGTAGAGACGGGGTTTCACCATCTTGCCTAGGCTAGTCTCAAACGCTTGACCTCATGATCTACCCACCTCAGCCTCCCAAAGTGCTGGGATTACAGATGTGAGTCACTGTGCCTGGCCTACCTTGACTCTTTATGGTCTATTCTCAATACCAAATAGGCAGAGCAATCCTACTAAGATCTAAATCAAATGTCACTTCTGGTGCTTGAAACAATCAGATGGCACTCCATGAAACTCAGTAAAAGCTCAAGTCCCTATAATGGTCTCTGAGGCCCTATGTGATGTGGACCCTACCTCTGGCACTTATCTCTTACTAACTCATGAATAGCTCACTCTCCTAGTAACAAACAGGCTGGCATACTTCTCTCTCAGGTGTTTATACTGGCTGTTCCCACTACCTGGAATCTTTTCTCTCTGGATATTCACATTACTCATCAGTTTCTTCAAGTGTTGGCTCAGCTGCTGACTTCTCTGTGAGGCCTATATAAGCTATTCTCCCTGCTCCAACCACGGACCCTCTTCTCCCCCTGTCCTGCTCTATTTTTTCTACAGCATGTATTACAATCTAACATACTATATACTTTACTTATTCAAGATGTTTATTGTTGTCTTCATACTAGAAAAAAGCTCCACAAGACATTTATTCATTAATGTATCCTCAGAGCCTGGTAAACAGTCGGAATAAATGCTTACTGAATGATGAACAGATATGAGAAGGAAACTGAAGCCCGGAGGGATAAATCATTCACTTAAGGACCTAAAACTAGCAGAGCTGGGACTCAGGGAACCAACTACTGTTCTTAACCAGTATCCTCTCCTGCCCAACCCTATATTACTCTGCTGTGTTTGCCATCCAACCATACTGTCATTCTTTTGTCATTTACTTGTTCATCAAATATCTGAGCCCCTACTATGTTTCATGCACTATGATTTGACAATAACATAATGAACACCAATCTGTGATACGTATGCTAAGGAGAAGGAAATATGTGGTGCTCTGAGAGTGTGCAACAGGGAGACTTAACCCAGTCTGCAGGGGACAGGAAAGACTTCCTTTTAAGGCAGTGCCATTTCAAATTTATGTTAAAGGAGTTTACCATATGAAGTAGGCAGGGAGATTTCTGAGCTGAGAGTTCTGTAAATAGTGGAAGAAAACAAAAGAGCCCATGGGAGTAAAGAAGAAAGTGTGGTTGGAAGGGAATGTGGTGTGAGAAGAAGCTGGAGAAATTGCCAGAAGGACTGTGTCTTCATCAGAAGGGTGATTAATTTCTACTGGGTCCAGATTTCTTGGATTCAACCTCATCTTCCCTATTTGAATGATACTCGCCTGCCCACGCGAGGACGCACGAGGCCATGGGACTTGATGAAGACACAGTCGCCAACCTTCAGCCACATGTCATTGTAATGGAGCTGCTCAAAGTAGTGGCAACCTGGTTCACCATTGGACATTTCCACAGGGACATCTTCTTTTTCCTGTTGTAAAGAAAACTGGCTGAAGAAAGGTAGCTGATAATCAAGAAATAGAGAAGGTAAGAAAGGAAAGCAGACATTCTTTCACATTAACTAAAAAGAAAAAACAACTATTGGTTAGGTGCAACAGCTTACATCTATAATCTCAGCATTTTGGGAGGTCAAGGCAGGAGAATTGCTCGAGCCCAAGTGTTTGAGACCAGTTTGGGCAACACAGTGAGACCCTATCTCAACTAAAAAGAGAAATTAAAAAATTAATCAGGCACGGTAGCGCACACCTGTAGTCCCAGCTACTTAGGAGACTGTGGTGGGTAGATCACTTGAGCTTGGGAGGTCAAGGTTGCAGTGAGCTAGGATAACACCACTGTACTCCAGCCTGGGTGACAGAACAAGACCCTGTCACACATACAAAAAAGTAAATTAAAACAAAAAAACACATAAATAGAAACTTTGAAGGAGGCTAGGAAACCAAAAAATTAGATTGTTGAAATAAACTAAGTCTTATCAAGTATCTATTTTACATTTCTAGTTAATTTTCCTAAAATATTATCCCAAGATGTTTTTATCCTGTCTTTCTCCTGTCTTCAATTCCCACAGCCTTTAGGAAAAAAAAAAAACTGGAGAGGATTTATCAGTATTTAAAAGCAGACTCATTAATGCATTACTAGAGTATAAGGCACAAATTCTACACATGCTTCCTTTCTATCACATTTACTGAGTTCCCTTAATGTCTTAACATTAACAATTGATAGACTTAGGCCAGGCATAGTGGCTCATGTCATAACCCCCACACTCTGGGAGGCCAAGGTGGAAGGACTGCTTGAGCCCAAGGAGTTCAAGACTAGCCTGGGCAATATACTGAGACCTCATTTCCAAAAAATTTTAAAAATTAGTTGCCCTTGGTGACATGCACCTGTATTCACAGCTACTTAGGAGGCTGAGGTGGAAAGACTGCTTGGACCTGGGAATCAGAGTTTGCAGGGAACAGGGGCTGTACCACTGAACTCCAGCTTGGGAAACAAAGTAAGACCCTGTCTCAAAAAAAAGAAACCATAAAAAACAACTGATAGATTTAAAATGTTTACTATTTTGATTTGTTCCAACAAGGAAAGGAATAGCATAGCCTCTGTGACATAAACACACTCAGTTATTTAATAAATTACGGCATCTGTTACCTACTGACTGCTATAACCTTGGGCAAATTACCTGACCTCTTATGCCTTAGTTTCCTCATTTGTAAAATGAAGACAATGATAGTGTGGACACCAGACAGGACTGTTAGGAAGCTTAAGTGACATAATCCATGCTCAAGTACATAGAAAAATGCTTGACTCATAACAACCACTTAACAGACACAATTATTTTTGTTGTTTTATAGTCCTGACTAAAAAAGAAAAAGCAAAAGGAAGATATTTTCAACTAATGTAAATATGGTAAAGAAGAACCACCATTTACTGAGAACCTAACAGACAATGGGCACAGGGCGAGATGTTATAAATATATTAACTCCAAAACATATATAGCTGAGGGAACTCCAGTGACTCCAAGTTTCTATAGCATCTTCTGGTGAATATCTCAACTTCGCACTTAAAAAAAAAACCCTCCAATGTCCCTCCAATGTCCAAGTAATTTAATATTCTGATTTTTATGACTTCAAATGTGATACTGAAGTGGTATTCTTGGAAAATCATTAAGAATGAGGGAACGCCGGGCACGGTGCTCACACCTGTAATCCCAGCACTTTGGAAGGCCAAGGCAGGCAGATCACTTGAGGCCAGGAGTTCGAGACCAGACTGGCCAACATGGTAAAACCCCATCTCTACTAAAGATACAACAAGTAGCCAGGAACGGTGGTGTGTGCCTGTAGCCCCAGGAACTCAGGAAACTGAGGCATAAGAATTGCTTGAACCCAGGAAGCAGAGGTTGCAGTGAGCCGAGATTGTGCCACTACATTTCAGCCTGGACAGACCTTGTCTCAAAAAAAAAGAAATCAGAGAGGTTCCATATATATGATGGGAAAGGGTCATATGAGAGTGGAAGCTGTGAATAAAACAACCCATGAGATTAATAATACCTTTTCTTTTAAGGAATGGGTTCTACTCTAAAGTTATTATTGAAAGAAGTTCCAGCTGGGCACAGTGGCTCTGGCCTGTAATCCCAGCACTTTGGGAGGCCAAGGCAGGTGGATCACCTGAGGTCAGAAGTTCAAGATCAGCTTGATCAATACAGTAGAAACCCATCTCTACCAAAAATACAAAAATTAGCTGGCCATGGTGGTATGTGCCTGTAGTACCAGCTACTCAAAGACAGTAGAATCACTTAAACCTGGGATGGGGAGGTTGCAATGCGTCAAAATCCCACCACTGCACTCCAGCCTGGGTGACAGACTGAGACTCCGTCTCAAAAAAAGAAGAGTTCCTGAATGACCTGTCTTGGCCATGTAATATTAAAATAAAGATGAGACCACAAAGACCAAGTAACTCATATACAGAGAGTTCCTAGGGACTTCCAAATATCAGATTAAGAAATCTAGGTTAATTATCATGCTGGCTTCCACTGATAATTCTTTTTTTTTTTTTTTTTTGAGACAGAGTCTTGTTCTGTTGCCCAGGCTGGAGTGCAGTGGTGTGATTTCAGCTCACTGCAACCTTCATCTCCCTGGTTCAAGTGTTTCTCCTGCCTCTCCCTCCCAAGTAGCTGGGATTAAAGGCGCCTGCCACCATGCTGCCCGCCTCAGCTTCCCAAAGTGCTGGGATTAAGGTGTGAGCCACGAGCCTGACCGGACAATTCTTATTTTAAAAGAAATTATTTTATGATTCCCACACAATCCCATACTGGTAAAATATTTAAAAAATCACATTCTTTCTCATGCTTCCTTTCTAACACAATACTGTTAGGACATTAAAATGGATGTTTTCTCTATGACACTAAGAATTCCATATTTTTCCAGTTTTCACATTAACAATTTTACAACTCTATCTTTCTTGACTTTATACATTTGTTTGAAATAATTAAAACATTAGAGCATGCAAAACTTAAAATATAAAAGTCTTTCCTGACCCAACCTCAGAAACAATCACCTGGTTTAGTATATAGTATATAGTTTTTTATGTTGTTTTCACATTGGTATATGTAAATTACTTTTTTTCCCCTTAAACCTGTAGCACCTGGTACAAGTAGAATCACATCCAAGTATTAACTAGGCTTAACTCTGTTTAGTTTTCAGGATCACATAAGACTGGGCACATTTATGGTTGTACGGCTATAGCCATCTACTTTATTCCTTTCACTGGCTGCAGAGTATTACATTATATGATTGTATGACAACTCATTAAATTCTTTTTTTTTTTTTTTTTTTTTGAGATGGAGTTTCGCTCTGTCACCCAGGCTAGAGTGCAGTGGTGCATAATGGGCTCACTGAAACCTCTGCTGCCTGGGTTCAAGCGATTCTCCTGCCTCCGCCTCCTAAGCAGCTGGGATTACAGGCCTGTGCCACTATGCCCAGCTAATTTTTATATTTTCAGTAGATATGGGTCTTAACCTGACTTCAGGTAATCCGCCCACCTCGGCCTTCCAAGGTGCTGGGATCACAAGGGTGAGCAACTGTGCCCAGTCAGGGTTTATGCTTTTATAAATAAGTGATGTTGCCTCTTATTGAGAATCCTTTGGAGCACCTGTTTGAGTACTATCACTGGAGCACATTCTTTGCCATCAAACTGGTGGGTCAAAGACACCAATAGGGCTGGGTGCAGTGGCTCATGCCACTAATCCCAGCACTTTGGGAGGCTGAGGCAGGCGGTTCACTAGAGGTCAGGGATTTGTGACAAGCCTGGCCAACATGGTGAAACCCCGTCTCTACTAAAAATACAAAAATTAACTGAGTGTGGTGGTGCATGCCTGTAATCCCAGGTACTTAGGAAACCGAGGTGGCAGAATCACTTGAACCCAGGAGGCAGAGGTTGCAGTGAGCTGAGATCACGTCACTGTATTCCAGCCTGGGCAACAGCGAGACTCCATCTCAAAAAAAAAAAAAAAAAGACACCAACAGGATAAAAGTGTGTATGGTCTTATCCTGTACCAGGCTATACGTATTATCAGTCTTTTCTTTTTTCTTTTTTTGAGATGGAGTCTTGCTCTGTTGCCAGGTTGGAGTGCAGTGGCACGATCCCAGCTCACTGCAACCTCTGTCTCCCAGGTTCAAGAGATTCTCCTGCTTCGGCTTCCCAAGTAGCTGGGACTATAGGTGCACGCCACCATGTCCAGCTAATTTTCGTAGTTTTTAGTAGAGACAGGGTTTCACCATATTGTCCAGAATGGTCTTGATCTCTTGATCTTGTGATCTGCCCACCTCAGCGTCCCAAAGTGCTGAGATTACAGGCGTGAGCCACCTTGACTGGCCTATCAGCCTTTTCAACTCTTGCCATCCTGTCAGGCATTATACAAATTATTATACATGTTTTCGGCTGCCTCCCTTCTGTAATTTATGTATTTGGGCCTCTGCTCACTCTGTAGTGCTACTTTCCCCACCAGATTCCAAAGAGTTCTTTGCATATTAGAAACAGTAGTCCCTAGACTGTTTCATTAAACTTATATTTTCAATCATAAATCAATAAAACAATCAATGGTTTTATATAATGCACAGAAATCGCTGTCTATTCCAAATTATTGGAAAAAATTATAGGTAAATAACCATTTTCTAAATTAAATAAAATTTAAAAATTTTTCTGTAGAGACAAGGTCTTGCTATGTTGCCTAGGGTGGTCTGAAACTCCTGGCTGCAACTGATCCACCCGCCTTGGCCTCCCAAAATGCTGGGATTACAGGCGTGCGACACTGTACCAGGCTTCAATTTTGTTTTTTAACTGTAGTTTTATAAAATTGAATACATCTGGCAGGGCAAAGCTCTCTAATTTTTAAATTAAAAAAAAAATACCTCAGTTCGCTGTCAAAGGGCAAAGCTCTTTCATGCCCTTTCCCCCCTTCTTTTCTGGTGACTGTCACATATTTATTCTAATAAGAATGCTAGAATAATTTTGTCAAGTTTCAAAAACAATTTATGCAAGTCTTTTATGTCCTTCGGTAAATTTTTTTCCTAGAGGTTCTATACATTCCTTGTTAAGGCTATTTCTTAATGTATTTTGTTGTTAGTGTGAATTGGATATTTTCTTCCGTAAGATTTTTCTATCATTTGCTAAAGTATATTCAACACTTTCACTTTACTTTCAAAAGTCTTATTAGTTCATATAAGAAGACTGTTCATTTAATATATGGATTTTGAAATTTCTACTTGCTAAATTTTCTGTTTCCAAACCTTTCCAGTTCATTTCCCCTAATTATCTGCAAAAAAGTCTCGCTCTGTTGCCCAGGCTGGAGTGCTCTGTTGCCCCTCCTGGGCTCATGAGATACCCCCAACCTCAGCCCTCCAAGTAGTTGGGTGTACAAGCGTGTGCTACCATGCCTGGCTAATTTTCACATTTTTTATAGAGACGATCCTAGGTTAGTCGCAAAATCCTGGACTCGAGTGATCCACCTGCCTTGGCCTCCCAAAGTGCTAGGATTTTGGGCTATTTGGGCCTCTGCTCATTTTTGTAGTGCTGAGTGTGCACTACACACTTTTTGTAGTGTACAGGTGTGAACCACCACACTTGTCCTCTTGCTTCTTTATTGTCAATATTTTTACTGCTTTTGTTTATCTAACTACATTGGCTAACTTCAGAAAAATATTAAGTAACAGTAGGACAGCAAGCTGTTTTGTCCAGTATGCAACTTTAAAAAGGAATTTGTTTTATGGGCTTTAGGCTTGAGACACAAATATGAATTTTTTAAAAATCACACTTGAGGAAATACCTATTGAAACACTTTTAAAAAATCAAGATGCATTCTTCACCAAATAATTTTTCCTTCATCTAATGAAATAATAAATGAAATTCAAAGATTTTCCTAACTTTGAACAGTTCTTGCATCCTTAGAATAAACTCCCACTTCTTGATTATGTTGTTCTCAAAGAAGTAATTTCATTTCACTTACTTTTTTTCCCCAAGTAATTCTGGCATCAATATATATGAATAAGACTGAGTTGCAGTTTTTTGTTTCCATTTTTCATGATGTGGAATCAAGATTATTGTGGCTTTGCAAAACAAACTGGAAATTTCTTGTTCTCCATGCTGTGAAACAGTTTAAACAGCATAATAATCATAGGACCCTTAAAAAAAAAAGTCACCTACCTGTAATCCAAGCACTTTGGGAGGCCAAGGCAGGCAGATCATGAGGTCAAGAGACCGAGACCATCCTGGCCAACATGATGAAACCCCATTTCTACTAAAAATACAAAAATTAGCTGAGCGTGGTGGCATGGGTCTGTAGTCCCAGCTACTTGGGAGGCTGAGACAGGAGAATCGCCTGAACCCAGGAGGTGGAGGTTGCAGTGAGCTGAGATCACACCACTGTACTCCAGCTTGGCAAAAGGGTGATACTCCATCTCAAAAAAAAAATTTCAAAATATATGTACACTTTGGCCATTGCAGAAACCATCACCCACTTCCAAATTTAATAGGCCATCTTCCACATTCCATTGTTCTTTCA